CTGACAATGCCAGAGGCTGGTGGTTGCAATATCAGTGGGGCAACATATGCACTCAACTCAGGGGTGGGTTCAGATAGCACAACAAGCCATGTTTCCATTGCTGGTCTACTGTAGTGTCAGAACCCAGTTGTGGTATTTTAACATGGTAAGCCTAGTCTTTAGAAAGCACAGTAAGAAACAATGGTTTGTTTATAGTATGGTTTGTTCTCCATATGATCATGGTTTGTTGTGTTATCTGAACCCAGGATCATGGTTTCCACCATCCTGGTATCCTGCTACAACAAAGCCTCCTGGAAAGAATGACAACTGCAGAAGTTCCTTCAATCAACCGGCCTCTTGTGTGGACCAGTGAGGAAGAGTTAGGTGAAAGAGGGAGGGAGCAATGAACAAGGAGATGAATTTCATAGCAAAAATAGAGCTTTAATTCTCCTCTCTTAAAGCATTGTGGTCATGATCTGAATCAGGGCTTGCAAGAGAGTAAGTAACGGTAGCACACATCATTCCACTAAACATACTTAAAGGAGCATTTAACTAGACACCTGCTTACTAGCATTCAGGTCGAAACTGCATTTTTAGCAGGTGAAGAGGATATTAATGGATCATTCCTTGACTGAAGAAATAAGGGTTTTTCCCCCTTGATTGGGCACTGTACTGTATAAGAAGTGTAGTCAGTGGAAAGTAAACAGAATAATGACTTGGGTGGATAAAAGAGTGAGATGGAAAAACCAGGATTCCTTGCTCTCATTCTTCCAAGTTGAGTTCATGTGTTCGATTTATAATTTACATTGTTAGATCATTTTTCTGGACTACGGCTCAGCTAGCATCATGCTGAATTTGCTTTTTGGTTCTATGCAAGTAACTGGACATCACCCTGCATCACCATGACAGTTGGGCAGGCAGGGGGCTAGGATTTCACACAAGTGTTAGCTTGATTATCATGCTCTAGCAATATTCATTTTTCCTCTTTACTAGACTGCAGCAGACAAGCTTCATACTGTGTCCTGTAACTGCCAATTGCTCTATTCCATTTTTGGTAAAAGCAGAGGGCCTTGGACATATCCATCCCTTGTTGCTCTGATTCATTAAGCGCAATGTGAGACTAAAAAGTAAACCATCTGCCAATCCAGCATTGGTGCATCCCCTTAATTAGTGACCAGGATAGTAGAATACAGTTTAAATGTCCAGATTAGATTATCGTTTCCCAGAAACGGTAAAAATTGTCCTGCCCTGGGCAACTTCTTTCCAAAGTGCAAGGCCTGCTCTTAAGCCTTTACCATGCTTTAGCAAGCAAGTCTTTCTTCACATCTGTGCTAACACACTGTGTAATCACGTTTCCCTCCTTTAAATCAGTAACAGCTGCCCCATAAAGCAACTTTTTTCCGTTCATCATCTACAGCCTTGGTGTATAATACTTGACTCCTGGTTAAACACAAAGCAAAGATGTTGGGCGTATTGTGGAGAGTTAGCGAAGCCTATTAGACCACGGACATGAATTATTCAGCACCTTGGCTCTCCGGTTTCGCAGCAATAGCAGTGCTGGCTTTTTCGCTTCCTTTCTCCTTGCCATATGCCCCAGCTCATGTTCCCCCCACTTGGATACTGCGTTTTCTTCCTCTGGGAGACCATGGCTCTGAAACATTTATTATGTTTGCTAATAACACTTTGATGCAGACACTTCACTGCTACAATGGCCCAAGAACAACAATTGCAAGGCCTTCAAAAGGATGGAGAGACTTAAAGAATTATTAAAAACTAAAGCGAAGTGACATGTTGCTTGAAGGATCAAATTATTTGTGAAAACAGTGGACGAGGAAAAAGATACCCCTGTGTCTTCCCAGCAGAACGGAATCAGAGACGACAAGGCAATCATGCTTTTCTTTCTACTGGGCTTGAAAATGACCATAATCATCAAAGGATAGCAAAGTACACCAATGTCACAGTCATTTTCAGTTACTGCCAGAACTGGAAGCAAAAAATGAAAGAGCTATGTTGTCATTCTTTGGGCACACCATGAGAAGGTGAGATTCACTAGAGAAGACAATCAAGCTAGGACAAATCAATGTCGGAAGGGGAAGACCAACCAATCAATCCATTCCATCAAAGAAGCTACAGCCTTCAGACGGGACCGTAAGCCTTGAGGAACACTCATTCCAAGGGTTGCCAAAAATGGAGATGACTGGATGTCATCTAACAACAACAAACATTCCTTGTTTTATGTCTTTCTTCCCTTGTGTGCAGCTTACTTCATTTGGGTAGTTTTGGTCATGTATCTGTAATTATGCATACTTACATGTACTTAGCTTGTCTTTCCGCAAGAAAAACTAGCAAGAGAGAAACTCTCAAAGCACCATTCCACTACACATTCACCCTAGACACCTTCTGCAGAGGCACAGGCAGAAGCCGTGCTATTTTGGGTCAACTGCTCCATAGATCTCATCTGAAAGACCATCACCCTGTAGTTGCACAACCAAGACATTCCATGCAGGCCTTCCTGCAATGCTTCCTGCCTTCTTGCCAATGGGATAAAGGTCTGCCCCTTCCTGCCTTCAGTCACAATACAACTAGACTCAGTGCTTTTTTTGTCATGGAACACACCGGAACAGAATTCTGGCACATCTTTTTGACAGATTTTCCAAGTTTTAAAAGTAACTTTTGAAAATTTGATGTTTGGTCCACGTGGATTTGAATCGCCCTGTTGAGCATAGCAGGTCGGTGGCAAAATCATTTAAACAGTGCATGTGGGCTGCTTGTGTGTCAAATCCGATGCATGCGCACTTTGTCCGCGCTGGTTGTGATGGTGCTGCTTGGCTTGTGGTGCTGCTTGGCTTGTGATTGGTCGTGTGTTTGCACGCTGAGTGCTTACTGCAAGTGGAGACCATTATGTTTTGTTACACAAGTGACATGTGTGGGTGTGTGTACAGTGATTGACTACGTGCGAAAGGTAAATAATTTCATGAGTTCCGGCACCCTTTTTCTTACAAAAAAAGCACTGACTAGACCCATTGTCTTGTGAACATCTTTGCTTGTGCATCCATGCTGCTTCCACTGTCTTTCACTCACTCTTGGTGGCCATTGCTTTCTATTCATGATGACATCAAGCAGACTAGTCAGCTCTGTGGCTGGAAAGCCCTTTGCTCCCCTGTGACCCCAGGCTGGGTAGGATTATTCATGGAGTTAATCCAGACATGGAGCACTTAGCGATGATTGGAGGAAAATTGTCTTCAAAAGCAGCCACCAAGGGTCAAACATATCACTGTGAAGGACTGTGGGAAGGGAGAAAAACCATTCCACAGAGAAGAGAAACTAACAATCCTCCACACATATTAATCAATAGTTCTCTAAAAGTATTTCTGATTCATGATTTTTCTTTCTCAAGTAGACAGATCTCTCCAACTCAGTAAACAGTGAACCTAAAGGTAGGTTATATCTTTACATACTGGGGGCAGTGTTATCTCTGACCTCCAGGTGGCCATGGGATAATTCCAAGAGGGAAGCTACAGCCTCAGAGAAGTACCCCAAGCTCTGTGATGCAACTTTGAATCTGGGGGCCATTCCCTCCACTGTTATGGTTGGCACAGTTCTTTTGGAGCTCCTGTCCTTGTGAGCCACTGTAAAACCCTTAGATGGCTGAAACTGGCCATCTAAGCATTCTGGAGGGCAGGAGGAACCTTGAAGCAATGCTCGGCTCCATGTTCTCCCAACCTCCACTGGATGCCCATGAACCAGAGGGCAGGTGGGCCTCCCATTCCCACGTCAGATGGCAAGGAAGGCAACCAAATATTAAGAAATCCAACAGAAAAGGGTGATGCATGTGCTACAACAGTGAAGGGAAGTACAACCAATGGGACAATCTTTTGATATTGTAATAGTCATTCTTAGCATTTTGGGAATATTTTGAAGCATCTAGCACTTATCATCAGAATAATAAAACACTCTTGTAAGGCAGACCAGCATGAGCATTATTTCACCATTATTAGCAACCTGGGAAACAAATAGTGGCAGAAGGAATCTTTCCTCAGGCTTACCTGAATTTATGGATGAACTTCATGATATTAAGAAACAGAGACTTAGAAGCTCACACCCACATGTAGGTTTGGTTCTCTCTAAGGTGGTAAACTTACATCTGGGATGCATCATTTAAAATTCCAGGTGAGTGATTTCCCTGCCATAGGAAAGGTAAGCTAGACTCCCTTCTCCCTGATATCTAGTTTTCTATGTGCAGGGGTGGATAGGTTTTAAGATTTCAGTCACTAGAGTAATAACTTGCCATGTTAAGTGGGCCTTTACATTCAGTTATTCCATTTGTACAAAACAACATTGGCTCATATGCCAGATGGCTCCCAGTCCATTTCCAGGCCCAGTTCAAAGCACCGTCTTTCACCTGTATTGTATCTTAGTATTTATTGACCCTGTCCCATCAAGGGGGGAAAACCCGCCAAGGGGTGAGCAGCAATACTATCAAAATACAAAAGATAGAAAACACTTAGACTATAGCAGCTGTACCTATAAAAACGTGACCAAGTGAAGGCAAGGACCCAGTTTGCCAATGTCCCAGTTCAACACTCCAACTGTTAGAACATGCCGGCGGTTGGTATAATTTTACAGTTTTTAAGAAATGAGCTTTTAAAATCATCCACCAAGACAACACTGGCAGCTTTGTAGAAGTATGGTACTTAAGTAACTAAAACCCTGCACAGCCTGAATTGGTCCGGCTCTGGCACAGACACGCCATCTCAGCGATTCCTGGATCTCAGCCAGTACACTAGATCAGCTAAGGCCTCTCTAAGAGACCAGTGAAGCGCCATTTTGAAAGAGATTATTATAATTATAATATTATTTTTTCCTAGAAGGACAGTTTCACTTTCTGTCTTAGGCTGAGCACATCGCAAACTTTCCTGCTCCCTTCAGGAAACAAACAAACCTTTCCAGGAAGCCACACCAATAACAGCATCCTGAAAAAATGCTTCACACTCCAGAATGCCAATAAAGATCCACTTTACCATGAAACCAAGGCGCGACAGTGTCAGAGTTCCTTTCAAATCCAGCACGTCGTGGAAGCTGCTCTTCTTTAAACCACTGAATTATGACTTCTCTGGAGAAAGGTCTTGAAGGCCGTCCCCTTGCTTTGCTGTATTAAAATCAAAGAAAAAGGCAGTTGTTGCATAAGAAATAAATGTTGCAAAATAAAAGAAATTTCTTTTTTCCTATTTTCTTTACGTCAAAGGCAATTATTTTGTGTAAATACTATTTTCTGACCTTCTGCACAACTTCTTTAGTACTTCAGGCAAAAGGAAGATGTAATTGGGTACTAAGTCTAAACATAAATCGGGGATGGCAACATCTCTTTGAGACTTTGTAGAGAACCTTCCTGAAGTAGTTTTCTCTAGAGTATGTATATACTGCAGTGCCTCGTATTTCAAACTTAATTCATTTCAGGAGGCTGTTTGTTCAAAGTCCAAATCAATTTTCCCCTGCAGAAATAATGGAGAGTGAATTAATCTGTTCCCAGACCCCAAACAATACCCATTTCGATGAACTTAAACAGCAAACACTACTTCCTGAAATGAATTAAGTTCAAAGTATGAGGCACCACTGCGTTAGAATAGTAATGTTATGTTAGGGCATTTACTGTACCTTAGTGAGGAGTGATTATATATTTAAAACCAAAAAGCAAAGTGAAAACACTGAAAACACACATATGTTACGCAAGAGATGTTCCGCTGAGAGAGACAACTAGGCCATACAACAGATGTTCCTACATTCGAACTGCATGCTGTGGCCGCATTTTTTTTTACTGTGCATGCAGTTCGAACGTAGAAGCATCGTCCAAACTTTGGAGCAATTTTATCTTGACTGTAATGTTCGAACTCTGGATTGTTCAAAGTCAGAGCTGGTCAAACATGAGACACCACTATATCTGCATGCGGACCATGTAAGGGCTGGCACACATATTATCCTGTATGGGATGCTGCAAAAAACCAAAAGCAAAGACTTCCTCATGGGAAGTGGTAGCCAGGCTGATAATTTTCAGAAGCCCAACCAGTTTACTTTTATTATAGTGTAATTTATCTTAGTCAGCATATGAGCAACCCTTTACAAAAGAATAGCTTACACAGAATGAACATTACATCTTGTACTAAGTCCATTAGGAAAATAACACTTCATATTTGTGTCCAATGAGATGGCTAAGAAACATTGGTGGGGGAGAATTCTTCTCTTCATTTAGAACCAAGGGCAGTTTCTGATGTTAGTCCTACACAGAGTAGACCCTTTTGTTCCAATGGATCCAGTCTACAGACAATTAGGCTTGGCCACCACTCCTAGTCCTTGCATGTGTTAAGTGGCTATTTAGTAAACTGTTGGCTGCATTTACTCTTACAGTTAAGAAAAATTGTCCTCCTTCATAAATTTTGCATGATTTAAACGTGTGCAATCAGTTGAAAGAAAATAAGCATTGAACAAGTAAGCCTTTGCTTGATCTACAACTCTGTCTTCAACAGCTCCAGTTTAATATTGCTTTCACAATTTAGGATGCAAACTTGTGCAATTTTAGATACAAAAAGGCATAGTGGGAAATGCTGGGGGTTGTCAGCCATTTTTTTCCTATGCATAGGACTGTTTCTTTCGCCACTATGCTGGATGAAAAGTAATTCTAAATTTTGTTTATATTTAACAAAAGTAGCCAACTAAAGTAATACCAAGGTTAGGGATGGGAGAATATCTGAGCTAGCTGAAGGTGGCCATTTTCCATCTCACTTGGCTTTCAGTCCCAAACACAACACAAACATTCCTTTTAAATGGAGAAATGTACATTTTCTAACACAAAAAAGCACATCTATTTCAGCACACACTTCAAGGACTCACTTTCCCGCAATAGACCAGCATGCAAAAATGCAGGTTTGTGGATTGGGAAGAATGCACACTTTGCCAAAGTGCGCACATGTGCACCCTTGAACACAAAGAGAAACCCAGGAAACTGGCTATGCTTCCTAAGAATCCTTTTCCTGCTGCCACTTGCATTGCAGATTGCGAATGGAGCACGCTTGCATGATCTGCAAGAATATTTGGGGTCAAGGTTCACCTGCAGAATGCTATGGTGGCAGGTGAAAATTCTGAAGTATATGTTGATGCCTTCAGAGGAACTGTGATAGGAAATCATTCCCATGTTGATATTTTATCGCAGAGGAAATACTTAACCAGGAATCTCCAAATTCCATTGCAACAATCAAGACACATTATTTGAGTTAGACCATTACGCCTCATTTCCCTTTGTGAGCCACCGAACAAGTGTGGACAAGAATCGGATTAAGAATGCTGCCCACTTCTGGGATCGTGCAATAATGCAACTTTCAGATGGACAAACAACTTTGAATAAATACAACGTAATTGTTATCACCTTAAAAAAAAAAACCTTTCAGCCTCATGTGAGAACTTAAAAAGCATCTACATTAAACTACTGAATTCTGCACTAAAGAGCTCCACTTCAGAAGGTTTAGAGCTCAAAGCTGAATTACATTCAACAGAACTTTTTATTTATCAGCATTTTTATGACATTATTTCAGAGGTCTCCTTTATTTTGATTTGGAATAAGAAAAGAATGTGAATATTGCTCTGACAAGCAACTTGCAAGCAAAACTTTGAGAATTCACTGCTTCTTTGAGACTTTTTTAAAATTTTAATTCCCTAATCAAGCTGGGAATGCCAGAAATCATTAGAGACAAATTCTGTATCAAAAAGCAGCAAGTCAAAGAGATTGCCTGTCAAAGCAACACACAAAATGCTGAGCAGGAAGGGACTGGGTTCCTCTAGTCCTGCTGGGCTGCCAGACTTCACAAGAGTCGGCACTGACAAGCACAAATCTTGGCATTAAAAATGAAAATGCATTTTGACACAACAGCCCTGCTGTTACTCAGTGGAACTTTTTTCACTGAGTGGTTGCAAATGTACAAATGAACAAACAGCATGTTATAGTTCACACTAGCTTGTTCCCAACACCAAGACTAATTAATACAATCATATGGTGCCATGTACACCCAGGAGGGACCACTGATAAAACTTTGCCTAACTCCATCTGCTCTGTTGGAGTTCTTTTCCACTGTTGGAAAAGTACAGGATTTACTAAGACAGGCAAGGGATCAATAAAAATGCACATCAGAGAAGGTATTAATTTTGTCCATAGAAAACTCAAGCAGCTTGAGTCGAAAATGAATGTTGGGAGAAAAGTCTTCACCAAAATCTGCCTGTCCTGATTTGCTTTTTTAAAAGGGCTTCTAATTTGATTTATTCCCTGGCTTGTTGGGGGTGAGAAAAAGCTAAGTTCCTTGTTCAACAGCCATTCCAGCTTGCAACAGGAGCAATTGGACAGCATGTACCTGCTGGGTGCCTGGCTCCCTGTAATCCACAATTTTCAAAAAGGGTGTGTCTTGAACTAAAACTGCCTAAAGTACAGTTGCAAGAATAAACGTCTCCAAACGAGAACCAAACTTTTTAAGAAAGAGGGCATTTTTATGGGAGATCGATAGTGTTAAAGAAAATTTTGAAAGGCAAAGGTGAGGTGAAGAATTAAATGGAAAGAGAAACTGTATGCATGAGAAAAGTAATGCCGTTCTTTGCAGACTGGGATGTTGATATTAATATAAACATAATGGAGATGGATTCTGACTTAGTCGTGCTTGGATCGTACATAGGAGTCAATGGGCATCCATGAGCCATGAATGGCCAGGTGTTGACAATGTGCCTTATTTCTTTTTGAGGAAAACAGATTTTAAAAATGCAAAAGGGTCACCGAGCCATCATACCTCCACCTCTACCTGCCCCAGGTGCCTGACAACCTGGTTCTCCATCTGCCACTCCCCTCCTTGCTGCATCTTATGCCTGCAATGTGCCAGAAGGTGGCTAAGCTCCCACTTGCTCTTCTTCCTTCTAAACCTACTTCTTCTGTCACCCATCTCCTTTAACTGGATAAACCTAATCCCCAACTAAGATAAAGCTTGCACAGCAACACTTATTTATTTTATTTATTTAAAACTTTTCTATATCGTCCCATCACAGATGTCTTGGGGTGGCTTGCAACAGATTAATACAATAAAATAGAAATAGGAGTAGCAGTTGCACAGCATCCAATGTTGAAATATAAAACCACCAAATAAAACAGGTTAACAATTAAAATATTGGGAGAATAAAAAGGTTTTCACCTGACACCAAAAGGAAAGAAGCGTTGGCACCAGGCAACACCTCTCTGGAGAGTGTGTTCCACAATCGGGGTGCCACCGCAGAGAAGGCCCTCCTCCGGTAGTCATCCTCTTGATCTCCTTCAAGGATGGCTCCCAAAGAAGGACCTCTGACTCAGATCTCAAGGGGTGGGAAGGTACATAGGGGAGAAGGTGCTCCTTCAAGTATTCAGGACCCAAACCATTTAGGGCTTTATAGGTCATCACCAGCACCTTAAATTGGGCCTGGACTTCAACTGGTAGCCAGTGTAGGCGATAGAGGACTGGTGTTATATGTGAGTACCTGCCGGTCCCCATTAGTATCCTGGAAGCTCTGTTCTGAACCAATTTAAGTATCCGGACTGTCTTCGAGGGCAGCCCTACGTAGAGCACGTTTCAATAATCCAGTCGGGAAGATCCCTGAGCCCCAAACACACACATTTTCTGGTCTACCCCCATGACCATGTTGCCTTTGTGAGCTGCTTGGTGCAAAGCTGTGCCTTTCGGTTATATTACTAGAAGTGATACCCTGTAGGGTAGCGTCCAGTGTCAAGCAAGGGGACTTCCACTCATACAGTGAGTGTAAAGTATATCCACAGGGCAGTATCCATCAGCATGGCTGCAGCCTAAGACTTCTCCAATGGTTCTGGCCCACCACCGCCAGCATCCTTCACATCTGCTCGGGGGTCCCCTCACCATCCAGAAGAGCTTTTGGAATTTTATGGATTACTCTGGGGAAAAGTGGACTCTCTTCCACCAACGGTGCCTGTTCAGCTGGCAAAGAGCACTGACTGGATTTTGGTTATACATGACCAAAAATGTTCCAATCTGTTGTGCTGCTGTCAGTTCTAGAAAATGGGCAAACATTTAAGACAGCTTTCTAAATTATGTTTACCCAGCAGGGAAGCATTTGCAAAGGGCTCTATTATCTAGCAATTCAGCTTTTTACCAAGGCGATTTTGCTTAGTCCAAATAAAGCACTTTTCAGATCAGTTGTGATTGTAGCCTCACAAAATAACATATCAGTGCAAGGAAAGTATTAGAAAGTGGATAATATACATAATTTGTCCTCCTGGGTGGCAGTCTTGAAAATGCAGGCTGCAGCTCCAAACGGATTTCTGCATTAGGCTGCTCATCTGTTATAACTACTTCAGATTAGATTGCAGAATTGGGATCCAAGCACTGCACAAAGAGCTCTTCCTTCCCCGCGTTTCCCACTACCTAACTCTAGGTGGCAGTGTGATAGAACTGAAAAGTGCAAATATGCAAGCGGCATAAGCATTCTTTTTTACTTTCAGAATATTTATATTCCTTTTAGAGGTCCATGAGAACATCTGAAGAACCTGTGTACAGCCGTGAGGAGGGAATGATGAGAGTACAATAAATGCCTCTTTTGGAAAAGCTCACATTACCACTGACCACCCAGAGGCTCCATATTACATGGAGAATCGTAGCAGTAGTACTTGCCCCTGGAAATCCGGTGTGGAATTCCACCATGCGCTGAGAAGACATGTGGTCAACAGCCCTGCATGTTCCAGCACCAGATACATACAGCCGATATTCATAGCATCCAGGGGCAGGAACATCCCCTTGCACCTATCAGATCATGCCATTATTCCTCAGAAACATCTGTATTTCTGCCCAGTTCATTGGTCTGACATACTGCAGAACGTTTCTTCTAACGAATTACATGTGCATCCCTATATATGTTTCGCCTTTAAAAGCCCTGCTACCTCTCATGTTCTTACCAGCCCCTTTTTCCTGTCTAAATATGCAAAGCATTGCACCATAAATGTATGCCCTTCATTAGACATGCATGTCCAACAGACACACACACAAACAGGAAATGATCAGCTCTAGGTTGACCATCTGGTTATACTAGTCTAATTCTGAATCTATTCCAGAGAATCTCATTCCCCAACCTCACCATCCAGTGAACTCTGAAAGAGACTCTCAGGCAGCGAATAGATCAGATTGGAGTCCATAGGAACAAACCTGGTTGGTACCCTCATGGTAAACGGTGGCACGGGACAGATGGGGGTCAGCTTTTCTTCTTGCTCGATATTCAGACCAGCTGCCTGGAATAAGTTGCTTAGGTCGGCCACTTTGCCTTTCTGGATGGCCCGCAAGGATTGGCGCCGATACTCGTCCCGAGCCCGGCGTGCTTTATGGCTCCTTTCCTCATCAGCAGCTTTGGAGCGACGTACTGCAGGGATGAGGAAGCAGAAGATCATAAGAGCATTTATGGATATGTGGTCCTTGAGATCTATCATGCCCATCAAGTTCAGCTTGCTGATTGCTGTGGGACCTCACAGGGGAAGGACAGACAGAGTGTGGCATCCCATCCACAGGGCCTACCAGTCTCTAGCATTTGTCTAAAGTTCTTAAAACCTTTCAGAATAGGCATGGCTAAGCCACAAAGACATGCGTACCTAACCTTCTCAGGATTGGTTTCCCCACCGCTGTATTCAGTCGTGTTGGTTGATACTTGGTTGAGTTCAGGTTGAGAGAGGGATGGCAATATTAATTGTATGGCGAAACAGGCAAATCTTTCAAGAATATATGCATCCTTCCTCTGCAGGAATTGCTGATTAATTTTCGCTTCTTTCCACTATATTAATAAACTCTAATCCAAGCTGATTGACATATAGAGTAGAAGTACGGATCGTAACTCCCCCAGACTTTTATCCAGACAGCCAGGGCAGTGAAGCTCGGTGCAATGCTGCACAGTGGACAGAGTGCTAAATCTAGATGGAGAAATGCTGGTTCGAATGCCTGTTTGCACAGATCATCCTCACTCAGCTTAGCCTGTTGCATGGACTGGGTTGTACAAAGTGGCTGTTCTCTATGAACGCCATTCTGGGCTCCTTGAAGAAAAAGTGAGATGCAGATAATGCATCATTACACAAATGTGGGGGAGAAAAGACAAGGAACCTATGAGGAAAGATTACAACAACCGGGACTGTTTAGCTTACAGAAAGTGTGGGTAAGAGGAGAGTCAGGATAAAGGATTACACATCATGTGAGGAATTAGATAGCAAGCCATGTATTCCCCCTTTTCTCATACTATGAGAACTCAGGACATCTCACTGATTTGAGACTCAGGAAAGATAAAAGAATGTACTTTTTCACATGAAGTATCCTTAACGCTATGAAATTAGCTGCCATACACTGGATGGGTTTCAAAGAGGATTGGACAACTCCATGGAGGAGAAGGTTATAGTAGCTGCTTGGCATGATGACCATAGGTTACCTCCTGCATCAGAGGTACTACATTGCCAGCTGCCGGGGAACACACACAGGAGGCTGAAGTTACACTTAGGGCTGCAGCAAAGCTCTACAGGATCCACCCCTCTTCGGTTTTCAGATTCTATTCCATGCTCAACCCTCTTAGAGAGCAAGCTGAGCTGGGAAGAAGTCCACAGATGCTCATGGAGGCTTGGCTGTGCAACTTACAACCCTCTTCCATGTCATGTGCCATGCAAACCAAGGCTGCAAGAGATGTGAGTGGAAGAGGGATGCCCTTTGCACATTGTTCACGTAGGTTTGTGTGGACAAATGCTCAGCATGTTCGCCGGGAAGTTGGATTGGTCAAGCCCAGAAAATCTGTGGATTCTCAGCCCCAAAATGGATTCTTCAGACACCCCACTTGCATGCAGGTCTGATTTCTGGGTTCTATGTGGGCAGCGGTGGCTGCACCGGATTGTTCCTTGGTCTGATCTGATCTTTTCCCAGCTCAGGAAATAAAAGTGCCCGAGAATGGTATTTGACAGTGAAGCTCATTGGCTGCTTGAATAGGGTTTTAACTGCCAGTTCTTTGATGAAGATAGGAAGGAAATTCTGCTACACAGCGAATGCACTTGAGCAAGTCACATCACTTGGGGTAGATTAAGGGATCTCTGAATTTTATATCCTCTTCTCTTCTGAAGAGCTCTGAGTCACAGGGCTAGATTTGAATGCGTGTTCTAAGAATGTCCCATGAATATGCATCATAGTGTGTTTGTGTGAGTGTGTGTTTTTTTTTTCAAATGATTCACTCCAGCTGCTCTCTTCTTAATACTCGTTGGTCTGTAGCTAATTTTGGAACAAACTCACAACAAATAATCAAGATTCAAATGATATTTGACTGCAAACATTGCATGATATGTTTCTGTTCTTTGGCTGAGGGGGGAAATTACCCTGGGAAGACATGCGACACAAGATCACGTCAATAAAAATGTGAATATCACTTGACTAATATTCAACTATGAGCAAAATGCTCACAATTATGAAAAGTGGGGTGTGGCGGGAGGGGAAGGGAGACTTGCATGTCGCCAAGAGGTGGGGGGGATACAAAACATTTCTCCCTCCCTCCCCACCACCACCTCCATGTGTTTGGGTGTGTGTGCGCGCGTGTGCAGCAAATACAGACAAGCACAATCTCTGTCGGTGTGGCCAGATGAGGTCCCTTGATGGGTGTGGGGGGCTGGTTTTGTCACAAGACCATGCCTATCTTTACTTTTCTCCACGCATGGCAGCCGGCCATTTACACAGGGGAAAGAAGAAAGGAATACTGGGCAAACCGGGAGCCTGTCCTGGAGATCCAGCCTGGCCCTAGCTAGGACTACAGCAGTCATTTGAAGTGTGAGATGCTCAAACCTGCTCAGGCAGGCCCTTCTAAAGAGCCAAGGTGGTGTTGTGGTGGAAATGTTGAACTCAGGACCTGACAGATCTGGGTTCTGGACCTCACGTGACCATGAAGCCCACTGGGTGACTTTGGCCTATTCTCTCACTCCCAGCCCAGTCTACCTCACAGTGTTGTTGTTGGATAAAATGGAGCTAAGTAAGCCACTTTATCTCTGCCCTAAGTCCACCTCGCACTGAGCAGCTGTGTAGGTGTCCAACAGGAAGCAAGTTCAGGCCAAGTTCTGCTTCTACACATGTGACTTGTGCAATTGTGACTTGACCCAACATGGCTTACTTCCTGGTCTGAGTCAAGTGAGGAAAAGAAGCCCAGTGAGTTCAAAGCAGCTGGATTGCAGCTGATCCTTGCATCCCTCTCTCTCAGATCCCAGCAATACTGGCTAGGGGGATGGCCAGAGTTAGCAGAAAAAACTTCCAAAGAACATTATTTATTATCTATCTATCTGATTAATTTTTCCCCAAGAAAAATGGAACTCAGGCTGGCCAGGGTTGGGAAGATTGGGTTAGAATCATTACGGAGGATAATCTAATCCATGCCTATTAATTAGGACAACTAAATGGCATCTTCGTGTACAAAGGAAAACTGGAATCTGACAAGGGCTGTTGCTGCGGCCACTAAACCTCGGAGTGGAATTGGAAGGATCTTGCTGGGACACTGTAGAAGGAACACTCTTTGACCCCATGGTGCAATTCTCATGAGAGATTCCATGATGCACCTGAGTCCACATTTGAGAAATGCTGGTGTCGGATGTTTTTTTTTAGACGCACTCTGTCTCAATTACAGAAAGGAGAGCAGTGCTGTTATTCCTGTGTCTCAACAAAAGGAACCACCACAATGAATTAAGCCAAGCACTAAAATTAGTAACGCTTCGCCTATTGACTCGGCAATAAATAGCAGCAGGACGAGGAGATGAATCTTCATGCTGCTGGAAATTCCATCTCCTAAATAAATTAGTAGTGTCATCAATATCACAGCAGCTGTGTGAGCAATGCGCCTCCTCAACCCCACTGACCCCTGGCACTGTGGAGAGTGGTCGGTGGTGGTAGGGCATGACGGGGACCTGGCATTGCTCCTGATGGACACTTTGGCTCCTGCAGCTGGCGTACAATGCCAAAGGCTATCTCTGAATCTTCCTGGATTTTGATGCCAGTAAAGAGAAACCAGGTTAGTGTTTCCATGGCGCCAAATGCTCAGCAGAACAGGGAAGGATGTGTCCGCACTCTTTTGGACCATGCAAGAGTTGTGCATTTTGGCAGATGGAGCATGATTCACATGAAGGCACAGATGTGGGAACACAAGGGTGGATTTGTAAAAAGTATGGGATCTCATGGCATTTCTGGTTCTTCACTGATTTGCTGCCCTGGACTAATTATAGCAATGCTATCACAGACGTACAGAGATCCTTCCTTTCATCATCCTGGGTTTTTCTCCTTGTTCCCTGGAAAATTTCTTTCTTGTTCTACCTGCCAGCATGGGGTAGTGGTTAAAAGTGAGAGACTGGGACTCAGACAATCTGGGTTCTAGTCCTTGCTCAGCCATGGAGCTCAGTGAGTGCCTTTGAGGCAGCCACAGATTCTTGGCCCTACCTACCTCACAGGGCTGTTGTTGTTGTAAGGGCAAGGTTAATAGGAGAAGGAGACATATATATGCTGCCATGAGTTCCTTCAATCAAAAAAGATGGGATATATACATAATAAAAAGAATAAATGTCTTTCAGACCTAGTCAGGCTTCCCTGCTGGATTTTTCCTTGAACAGATTCAAACTGTCTTCTCTAATAACCTCCTTTCTAACATTAAAGCTTTTTCATTATTCTATGTGCACATATCAAACATAAGTTACCACCTAGCTGATCAGCCAGTGAAGTAACTGCAGAGTGCAGAGTAATGTTTCTAGTCCTCAAGTGTTGTTCTTTTTATCATTTTTTTATCATCAAGTACTCAAGAAAAAGACAGTGTGATTGTGAGTGTTGTGAAAGCATTAAAGGAGTAAGTGGCACTTACTTTTACCACTTTTATTGATACTTTAAAAAATATATTTTAAACCTCTCTTTATTTCACTCAGTATGCAGTCAGTATGCAACACTGCCATGCTTATCATAATCATTGCAGAATAAGAAACTCTTAATGTATTTTATAGGCAAACAAAGACGCTTGCAAAGCTAATGAAAAGAAAATCCAAGATGCGAGGGCTAGCGCTAGCCAACTGAGTACTGAATGGAGGACCTGGGAGAACTGGATTCCAGTCCCCAATCAGCCATGAAACCCACTGATGATTTGGAGCCAGTCATGGGCTCTCAGTCTAACCTACCTCACAGGGCTGTTGCTGTGAGGATAAAAATGGAGTAGAGGAAAACTGTGCAGATCACCTTGTGCTCCTTGCCAGAAGAAGGAAGTCAGGAAATATTTGCAATCTAATATGGAACTCCCACACTACGATACTGTTGGGATCATCCTAATAAAAGTTATATTTTTATATTTTGAATTAAGGAAATCTTTGCCTCCCTTCCTATACCCCCCAAATG